GTACTGAGTGCTTAGAAACAGATGGACAAAACCAGGTGTCTGCAGCACTCCTTTAGTATACATTAATGCAGCTGCTTGAGCTCTAGCAAAAGACTTTCCTCATTCTCATTAATCCAGAAAAGGCAGAATGCCTAGCTTCTAGTGTTGGCCTCTCATGACTGAATTTTGTTGAAAGATAATCACAATGTTGTGATTTAGTAGCACAAATCTTAGAGAGGATTTCCCTTTTATTTTGGTAAGTATATAGGGGAGAAGGGTGGTGTATGAAGCAGCTCTTTTTGCAGAAAAAATATGCTTTTTAAAAGCTTAAAAGCTTAGTGAGTGATGAAATGTCACTGAATGATTGTGTTTTTCATATGTATCAGACAGGGAAGTGTTAGGATCTAAAATTCTTATTCTAATATACTCCCTTAAGTTTAAACAGTTATCAGGACAGTGGCATTAATCAGTTGCTTCCCAATGCATTACATAAGACAATGCAAGGTTGACAATTACAAACCAATCAGCACATTTTTCTAAACCTGAATATTTTGTCTGTTTGGCAGGAGGAGTTATAGCATAAAAGATAACAGTAAGGAAAAAAATGAAAGAAATTCTCATGCATGGTATAAACTTCTAGTATTCTTTTTATCACTAAAAGCACAGGCAAACTATTCTTAAAGTTGGAGTTTTTTCTTCATAATTTGTTTTTTTCATTTATGAGCAATGAAGACCAAATTAAACCAAAGTTATTCTCTTGCAGCCCAACTTCAGTCCATAAGGCTTTTGAGATGCTTTGTATCTAATCTTTTGTAATAAATATTGCTACCCAAAGCAACTTCATATCTATTTCTCTTAAAATAAGTGTAAAAATTAAGAGCTCTGCTTTATAATTTAAACTACTTCACAGCATTTTTCACATAAATCAGGCACAATAAAATATTATCTGCATAAAAAGACTTTATTATTGGATAACTGTAGAATAAATAATGCTGAGATGACCACAAATGCTGAATCTGTTATCTTCATATATGGTTTTATTTTCCAAGGAAGTACCTGCAACACCATTCTTTTATAGATAAGACTAACATCAATCTCCACAGGGAACCTAGCATGATCTATTCTTTAATAGGAATGTTTTTTAGATATTCGAGAGATGCTGCATAAGCATTGCAAAGCCTAGAATCCACATCCCCCAAATTCTGCAGTTTCATAACTTTGACAGTACAATTAGAGACGTGTGGATAATCAAGCCAGTCTTTATCTTACCAATCAGAATAGCACAAGTTATAGTGGGAGTCTGGAATTCAGCATTTTTCCATATGCATAAGAAACCTTCAGTTCCTGCACCTTTTGTTGGCACAAACTCACTGTTCTCAGTATCAAACTTGCAGGTTAAAACTATTGTTGGGGGTCTTAAGAAAAAATTTGCAATATCCTTTGTTTGTTGTACAACAAAGGTGAAGTTTTAGACAGATTCTTACTGTTTTTGATGTAAATAAAAGGTACCAAGATCAGCAAAATGTTTTGGAAATGCCATATGATCTGCCAGGGTGTTTCCAGGACTCTCTGAATTATTTGCAGTTTTAGTGTCCTGCAAACTGGGAGTCCCTAGAGCCTGGTTCAGGTCTTCTGGTTTTCCAGGAAAACAAAATGTGAGACTGCTGCTCTCTTAGAGCCAGAGCATCAGACTAAGATCTGTCATCTGTATGACTCAGGAGCAGCCTGCTTGGTGTTTTTATTCAGAGGCAAGGAGTCCTGCATCCTGTGGGCTCCCAACTAATTTCCACATGACAGCCTGACACTGAAGGATACTGCTACAGAACACACTGCAGTCCAGCTGCCCAGAGATGCCACCTCCTTCCTCCCACAGTCACCTGCAGTCCCTGACAGACCCAGAGGAACCAGCCATTTGCAAGCCTCTGTCCTGAGGCTGGAGATAATCTCCAGACACCGTTTGCTTCCTGGTAGTTCCTAGTGCAGAGTTTTGCCTACTCTGTATTTCCTCCTGTCCATACTGCTTGTAGTGTACAAGGGCAGGTTGGATGCTTCTTGCTCCTCAGAGTGTCTTTCCAATGCTGCACAGGCAATGCCAGAGGAAAGGGAAATGACAGAGAAGATGAAAAGCACAGAACTATTATGTCCTAATGTAAGTCAAAAACATTGTGCTAATTTAAGTCATAAACATATATTAAATAAATAAACATATATTAAAACATTGTTCCATCTATTGGAACATAGAATTTTTGTAGCTATGCTTTCACTCGGTTTCTTTCTTTTTCCATTTGTTTCTATATCAGGTGATATCTTATGTGAAATTTTTACATTGTTCACATATCTGAACACCCAGATCTCACATTACTGCACTGTGAAAGAAACCATTGCTGGCAAGTGACGATTCTCACTGAGCTGTGAAGGATACAGACCATATTCACCTAGTTCTCTGCAAACTTTCAGTTGGATTTCAGTGAGCTGACACCTACCTCCAAAGGCTTCTATTTCCCTTTTCCTTTTTTTATTTTTTCTTTTTCTGACAGTAATTTGAGGCAAGTCAGGACATCTCTATTTTTAAGAGGCTAGAATCTGTGACTTCCAGTTCCTGAGGGGGAGACATTTTTTATTATTCCACATAGTCACCTGTGACTTCTAAAAAAGAGAATAAATATAATTAGAAAAATGCGACATAACTTTCTCTGAATCCCCAGTGTGTATCTTTTTTAGCCATCTATTCTCTCTCCTCCAGATCCTGATCCTACATGTGCTAAACAGTACACACAGAACTCATCTGCAGTCCTCAAATTAAGGATATTGAATACCTCCTCGTAAAGGAGAATCTTCTACATCATAGTTTTCCAGCATTTAAATTGTACCTTCTGTAGACAAGATGCCTTATTAACTGGAAAGTGCACCTTCAACATCGTTTGTTCTTTCAGTATTCCCAACAGTTAGAGAAATACTGTTATCCTTCTCTGGGTACAGTGGAGGAACTGAAAAACAAAGTTAAATGACTTGCCCTGTGCCATACAGGGACTCTGTGACAAACCAGGATGTGACACTGTAAACAGTACTACAGAGGAATATACTTTTCTCTGAAGCTTAACTCTCAGTTTAAACTGACACATCCTACAAACAGGCACTATGGTACAATACTGATGTTCATTAAATGATAGATTGAAAGTCAGTCTCAAAGTACCAGAGCAGCACATTCTCCTTGAGCCTTCTTTGTTAATAAATTGTAAATCATGTATATTCCATAAAAAAAAAAAAAAGCCTGGAGGGGAAGAGACTGGGGGGAGACCTCATCGCAGTCTACAAATTCCTCATGAAGGGAAGAGGAGGGGCAGGCACTGATATCTTTGTGGTGACCAGTGACAGAACCCAAGGGAAGGCCTGAAGTTGTGTCAGAGGAGGTTTATGTTGGATATCAGAAAAAGATTCTTCATCCAGAGAGTCACTGGGCACTGGAACACGCTCCACAGGGAAGTGGTCACAGCATCAAGCCTGACAGAGTTCAAGAAGTGTTTGGATAATACTCTCAGGCACATGGTGTGACTCCTGGGAATGGTCCTGTGCAGGGCCAGGAGCTGAACTCAGTGATCTTTATGGGTCCCTTCCAAATTGGTATATTCTCTGATCCTGTGATTCTGTAATAACCTGTTGTGGAAAACAAAACTTTTCCTTGTTAGCTCAGGCAGTGCCATTACACAAATGGTATACTGTCCTTCACATTTTATATTGCAAATAAACAAGACTACTTTAATTATCACAATCTGACATGCCATCGCTAGAACAGAAGGTACAGTACTGAAAGGTATAATACATTTGCAATACAGGGAAGGTTTATTTTAGGCATTAAACAAAATAGCATTAACATAGACTATGAAAAATACTGCCCTATTCTTAATAGAATCTTTCCTGAAGGAACAATTTTAAAAATGGATTTCAGATTTTACCGCTTAAGCCAAAGTATTAAATGTTGGACTAAATTTTGTTTTGGAAAATATGAAGCTTTTGCAACAGAAAAAAAAAGCGCTTTTTCTATTTATGGTGTCTTGGATGTGTTTTAATTTCTTATATTTCATAATATGAAGTTAATCCTTGCTAAACCTTAAATAAGCAGAAGGTTAGCAGAGTCAAGGAGCCCTAGCAGTTGAATCTTTTGACAAAGACCACTTTTTCATTTTCTGCTTGTTTAGGGTAAAATAACCATCACAATCAATATGACAAGCAAACAGATGGACTGAGTGGCAAAGAAATAGATGGAAAATATTTGAGGGATGCGGATGTTTAAAGAAAGGAGATTACAAAGATGACACCAAACACCAAGGAGGGTATGAAAGAAAAGTCATATTCAGGCAAGAATATACCAGAGCAGTAGAAAAATTACCATTTTTGGACTTCAGTCAGGCAGCACAGAACAACTGTTGTGCCAAACAGAACAAACAATTCTTGTACCTGCAGAAAGAAAATAAAAGAAATAACAGCAACATAGCACCATCTTGATGAAAAGAAGTAGATGTGGAGGTCCTTGACAGTATAAATTGAGATACCAGTTAAGGTCACAGCCCAGAAACTGTGGGAACAAAATAGATCCAATGACACCAAACACCTTGTCTGATTTAGCACTGTCTACTAACACACTACATATTTTTTCCCACATGCTTCAGCAGGAATACTTGCTTGAAAAGTTTTTGTGTAAGCTGTGGCAGAGCTGCAGGAGTTGGAAAGAGCATCCCTCCATGCCATGGTGCTCTGTCACCTCAGCCACACCCTGGACTGCTCACCCCCTGGGTGGGTAGGCACAGTGGCACCAGCACCATGCCCCAAAGCGTTCTATGGTCACATGGTGAGGACCATAAATTTGGGATGTATGGATCCTGCCATGATGTCTAGAGGCAGCCACTATCACTGCAGAATAATATTTGTACTCAAACGGCAGGGATCTTTCTTCTTCCTAAGATTATGTTATACATTCAGTAATTAAATAAAGCACAGAGGGAATTATACCATATGAATGTCCATCTGACAGCTTTCCTGATGCAATGTAAATGGTCCTGAGTGGTTATCAGGGAAATATCTGAACAGACAAACTTTATCAGCACACATGGGACTTGGCCACCTACAAAGAGCTTGCAGAGGACATACCATCATAAACACAGGGTGGAACATCAAAAATAGGACTTCAAGGAAAAAGTACATTTCCCAGGACAGGCATCTGGATATTGTGGAGAATGACATTTGGAATGAAACTGCAGCAGAAAAATCAAATAAAGCCTAGGTTTTACAGACAGAGAAATACGCCATATATCACAATATATTTTACAGGACAGGCTTCAATAGCTCACAAGAACCAGGTCACAACCTTAATGTTGGTTGACTGAAGCTATTGCATTACTATCAACACAGATCACTTTTGCAACAAACAGGTTTTAATACATTGTAATGTGGGAATTAACTGTTTCTTTCTGATAAGGAGCAAGTCACCTTCTATTATCAGGCATCAAATCATTTTAGTATTTTGCTGATATGTTCTCTTCATCTACAATCTTCCAAAGAAAATAGCTTGTCTGCCTGTGGAGTGGAAACAAAATGTGCCTGAATAAGATTCAGATAAAAATGGACACAGAAATTAGCCCTGGAGAACAGTAGGTTTCCCAAGGCCTTGCTAAGAACTCAGAGACTGTTATATTTGGCTTTAAGTACTGAAGCCCAAGTTTATTTTCAGAAAATCATAGATCCTATTCAGAAATCTTAAAAGATGGCAAAGATATTTAAAGGAAGACCAAATTTTATTTATTTGTGATTACATTCATCAATGGAAGAATAGGTATGGTAAATAGATAGTGAAAGATATATTTGTAGGATCGTGTATTTGGAACTCAAATATCAAGTATGGACCAAACCTTTTATTTTATCAATTGGGCTACGACCATAAAGGTGTGCCTGTACCAGAGATTGAAGGATTTGTGGGTTATTAATTTGGCTTACATATATATATATATGGAGACTTATGGTACACACTCAAGTGCACAACTGATAAACAAAGGTTGCAGATATGCAATAGGACAGTAGGGATGCTGGGGAGCATCGTTTTAATATGGACACAACGACTTCCACTACATAGCTCTGTACATTTTTATGGCACATACAAAGTTAGACTGTTGGCAGTCTGTTAATTTTTTCATATCCGTGATGCTTGTTGATAGAGATGATGTTGCAAGTCTGCTATTAACCTATCTATCAGTTACCAAATCACAGTCACAGGTGGACCTCTCCACTATTATCTCTCTCTTTTTAATTACTCAGTGCTATGTCCTACTAATGGTGGATAACACTTAGCAAAAAGGACAGGAAAGTGTGCATTTAGTAGTTGTGATTGACAGAAACCACAGCTAAATTCTTTGCTGTGTAAGAAAGAAGCTGAAGTTGAAGGTCTAGAAAATTATCTCACATAGAAAACGCCTACAGTCTACTCATTTGTAGATGAGGATGGCAACATGTTTTTCATGCTGTATGATAAAGGCAGAAAAGCAGTGTCTCATCCTCCCTTTCTTGGCACATTTTCTTGACTGAAATTTTCTTCTACTGCAATGTGTCTTTGAAGACAGGTCCTCAGCTAATACAACAAAACCTCTGGAAGGCTAGTACCACGCTGGTTCAAGTCAGATACCCACATTCTTCTGTTCCAGTTTCTGACAGCGAATTGCAGCTTGTTTATCCTGAATGCACTTCCAGAGGACTCCCTCCTGAGTCATAGTCACAATAGCAAGACTGAAAGAGAGATGAGCAACAGAGCTGGAGCCATGGCTTCCAGAGAAGGTTGTCCCATGACAGCTGGTTAGGAACAGCCTGCAAGGATCTCGTGTGATTGTCTACTGCTTGGTGAACGACCCTGAGGATTTCGTAGAAACGGCTCTCAGTTTCTGGAGTCAGCGGGACTTTCTCTTCAGGGTCTCTGGACAGATCGAAGAGCAGTGGGGGATCATGTTGTGTAATGAATCCTCCATGGCAAAAGCAAACATGAGAATCATAGCAACCATTGGAGTCCTCGGGACTGAAGTTTGGAGTGAAGAAGAAGACTTTCCAGACAGATTCACCTGCAATTTACAGACACAAAACAGCTGGTGATAAAATGACAAAATGAAAATCCCCTAGTCTTAGGAAACTCTAATTTACACAACAGAAAATCAGTCTTTTGGTATAAAGACAGTAAAGAAACTCTGTGCAGAAACTGCAGTATACTGAAAGAGTAAAACCAAATCAAGCAAAAAAAAAAAAAAAAAAAGCAAAACATGGCTATTTTCATACTACATATATTCCTGAAATAATTATGATAATTTCATTCCTTTGGAAGAATTCTGATTAACTAAATCACAGAAAACTTAAAAGAACTGTTTGTTTTTACATAAACAGTGCTAAGAAGATTTGCATAAATATTTACTAAGTCTTCTTCAAGGCTTATTAAAGTGTATCTTTGCCCCTTGACCACACCTACCCACTGCTGGGCCATGACTGCTTCTCATTCTGCTAATCAAGATAATTTCATTGTTACCTTTTTCTCTCTTCCTCTCTTCCTTGTATTAACACATTGCCCTCTGCCACATGCTTTCATTGCAAACACCTGGAGATAGTTTCTCATTTTATTAAATGAGATGACATGAAAAGGTATAATGGATGCCAAATTCCTCTTAGGCCTCTAGATGATTTTTTTCAAATATAAATAACTGTTACAGTAGTGCAATTCTTAGGTGACATTCTGTTTTGTAAAATGGGAACCAAAGTTCCTCATGTATAGGTTGGTCATTCTTTCTCAGCTTAATTTTCTCTGTACAGAAACTGAATTGTCCACCCTAATGTAACTTCAGTCCATATTTTCACTGTTAAAAAATCCTAGTTATTTCTTGGAATAAGAATATGCAAATATCAGTTGGTTAATTCAAGAAGCACTCTCAAACAGGATGTACACTGGAGAATCTGAACATACTTAACAAGCAAGCTGTAAGTAAAAAATGGCTACTCTTTTTCTCACGTATTACAGAACAGATAGGGAAGGTAGGAACACACAGGCACTTCCATGGAATCACAACATCCCTCCTGCAGTCAAAGAAGTATATAGCTCTCCAAAAATGGATTAAAGAACAATTAATTAGAGTTTAAAAAAATCTGTATTTTATTCTTAATAGAACTAGGATACTAAACAGATGAGGTCTATGATATCAGATTACCTCTCCACTTGAGACCATACAAACATCGGAAAAACATAGTCATCAGTAATTTACATTTCTCAGAACTTTAATACTGAGGGAAAATTCTCTCTTTGGTATTTTGTTGAACTTTGTTAAGATCATAGAAAGCTTGTTAATGTAGTAGCATACTTTCACAGATTTATGTGCACTACAGTAGTCAATATTTATTAAGCAATTCATTAGTTCAACAGAATGGAAAGCACTAGAAAATGTGGGAAGAGCAGAGATAAACTGGTACATGCCGTGCTGTAACTACATGACACTCAACTTTTAAAGAATAAAAACAGGCTTAAAGAAAGAAATGTTTCAGCAGACTAAAGAGTCACAGGCTGCAGTTCTATATTATAGCATGAATTAAAAGGACAGTGGGTGACCTTAAGATTCTTTACGGCTTCTTCTATCCCACAGCATTTTTCACATTATAAGAAATTTTACCTTTAGGAACCAATTCAATGACAGAGTCTGCAGACTTCCAGTTCACTCCGTCTGCACTTAAATCAGGGTCGGACAGGTGATAGCTATTATACACATTAGACTGGGAGAACCCCCTGAAAGCTTCTTGGAAGTCAGCAAAGGGGAAGGAGCTTTAAAGGCTGGGAGTGACTTGCTGGCACAGACAATAGGACATGGTAGGTTTTAAAAGGCTCTGGCTGTGACAGCTGCAATGGCACAGTCTTACTGGGGAAAAGGGAAGGGAAAGGTAAAGTAAGGCAAAGCAAGATAAGACATGGCAAGGCAAGACAGCATTCCTTCATCTACCTCCAGTAACATTTTGACAGCTTTGTCTGACACTTGAATCTTTTGTTGTTTTCTCAGAATTAAAATAAACAAATAAAATCTAACACTGCCGTTTAAATGTCTTTGAACTTATGCACAGAACATTTCCCAGAAATATGCCTCTCATTTACTCAGATTTAGAATTACATTCTGAGAAGGTATGTAATTTTATACTAAGCATTGATTCAAGCTCCTTAGAAGTGTTTAATTGGCAAGATGGACAGTGAAAAACATGAAAAGCCAAAGGGCTTGATTAATCAGTGCACTGTGTGCCTTTGTAGACCATGCAACACTCGTTACACTTGAGAATTTTGATTCAGGGCACCATAGCATCTAGATAGAAGAACAGCAGAAAAAATTTACATAGCTACTAAAATGCCAACTAAAATAAATTCCAGTAAGTCCATGCACATGAGAACTTTGTGGTCAATTTGTCACTGCATTTGTGCTGAATGACATTGAAAAGAAAATTTTCAGCCACCTTTTCTTGTTGTTGGGCATTGTATCGCCAGATCTGTTCAAGGGCTTACAGATAGTAATATAAAGTTGGGAATTCTGAATTAATGAAGTTGGTACAAGAGACTGAATTATTGCAAGTTGGTACAAGTTAAGAAACAGAGAAAAGAAAGAAATAAGGGAATTGTACCATGATTTTTTTTTGCCCACAGAATAAAGAATTGTTCAGGTCTGGCTATATAGAGAATACACGGTATCTGTAAAATGAAGTGTGGGGTGGGGACAAGGGATGCATGACAACATATCATGTCTGAATGACATTGCTAGTGTTTTGGAGAGCTGATGCTAGTTTATCAGCTTGCAGCTATAGATGTCATGATTATACAGTACAAAACACTGAGCTCTGGGAGAGCACAGTCTGTTACTGAGCAGGGTTTATCTGCTGCACTGCAGCAGTGTTTCTGAGAGGATCTGGAACTTCGTGTGGTGCTGGAGAAACAGCAGTGCAGACTTTAAACACTTATTTCCTAAGCATTATAAAAACTAAAGCATATCTGTCAGTGGCTGTGGCTGTGGAGCAGCCAGTGCAATATACTAGGAGACATTAAGAGCTGTCAGATTTCTAATCTGTAAAGCTGATGAACTGTATAAGGCACGATATTAAAAAGAGAGAGCTCTCTCCCAGTCTCTCTCAGCTGATATAAAATCTCATTTTGTCAGAGGGTTAAGTACAAGGATCAAATTAATCTCTCAGTAATTAACGGTACCTATGTTCTGCAAAGCATCTGGATAGTAAACCTGCTTTATATAAAAAGATAATTATATGTCTCTTCCACAGTGAAGTTAGTAGTAAAATTGTCAGGGCTCCCCCACAGCCAGGTGTATCAGGTCCCTTCTGAAACAGCAGGCAGGCTCTAAGCCTGCAGCACCTTAAAGGTCCTGTCCTAATGCTTCACTGATGCCTTGAGTCCATTTTTCCTGCTATTGTCCAGTTCTCTGAATTGCACAATAAGTTGACTCTCAGAATACATCTTTTCTTTACATATTAAGAAAAACAAAAACTACAGAAGTTGTACTTCTAAGTAGTCTCAAATTAAAATAGGTTGCCATTAGTTCAAGCAAATCTATTAGGAACATAATTGTTCAGTGTTCAATTTCCCTAACAGAGTCCCCTTCTGTTTTATTGTCCTACATCCATCTAATTATCCTCTCAGACAGACAACAGTACCTCCAACAGACAGGTAGCAGCCATGAGATTAAACAAAAGTTCCTCAGTAAGACATATTAATATTTTCAAGATGAAGTGACAAACTGGATAGGGATATAATTTCTGTTATAATAGCACTGCTCTTAATCACTGATGGCTAACTCATGTTTTCTGATAAGCAGCTCCTGAAGTGAATAGAAGCTATTGATGAATTATTCCCTGGACCTCATTTTTACTGAATTTAATCTATGGCAGTAGTTTTATAGGTTTGCTGCTACTGTTATCTTCTTTGTTCATATTATTTTGTTTCTTCTTTCTGTAGAACAAGTTAAACAAATCTGTTCTTCACTGTATATTGGGGAGCTAGTCCCTCCTTGAATTCAGACACCTTTGAGGATTGCCATTTGTGTGTAGCATACCAACATAAATTGCCCACAGACTTTTACTGTGTCTTAAGCATCCTGCTCTGTAGCCATTGTCAGCTCCCACGCTCTAATTCACGTTTCTCAACATTTCTACACAGTAGCAGATAAAAGCTGCAATTCACTTGAAAATTACTTTCTTCAGATTACTCTTGTTATTAGATGGAGTCCTTTCTTCCTGCTTCCTTTACCTTTAAAATCATTTAGCATTGTTAGGTTCTCTGAAAATCTTATATGTAGTATATATTGCATATATGTATATATATATATATATATATCTTCAATACTTTAAAAATTTAGAAAAGAAAATGTGCATTTTTCAAACAGCTTAAAAACGTGTAATTTTATTGTTCTTACACTGAAAATTTGGTTTTGTTTTTTGATACTTGTTTTAAGTGTCTGGGCTCTTATGATGTTACATTTTTAAAACAGTCAAAAGACATCACATTATGTCCCATCGTAGGTTGAGAATAACTGAGTGAGATTCAAAGACATAATGCTAGTTTATGAGAATCAGTTGTTGCTAAAAGAGGCTTGCATAAAGAACTGTGCAGAATATACAGTATTTCAGGGAAAGCCATGAAAAAAAACAACAGTAGCAGTGATTTTAAAATCTTAAGGTTAAAACTAACAGTGTTAAGCATCCATTAAAATATAAAGGATTGTACACTGGTGAATATCTAATAATCATACTGAACAACTGCTGAAGAAAAATACAATACAGTGAAACCATGCTCAGACTGCTGAAGACAGAAATCTCATGACTGAGCTCATTATCTAGAGTAAGTGCTATGAGAAAATTCCACTGAATTCTGTTCAAAAGTCAAGATTATCTGACGAATTGTAGCAGCTGACATTCCTGAATTCTTCATCATCATCTTCAAAAAGAATGATTGATCATTTATAATATTTTCTTGTAGAAGAAATTCCAAAAGGGAAGAATCTGTGGACACTTGCTAAAGATTTGTCTGAAGAACATTTACTTGCTG